GGGCTGGGCACGCACCGGCACACCTCGGCTCCTCCTGCATCCTCCCCACTGCTCCAGCAGCTCTAATGGGCTGGGATCGGGTATTCCCAACTCAGGGAGATGCTCTCCATAAATATTTGTTGGCATTTAAGAGCAGATTTCTGCAAAGGTTCTGGTTTCCCTCCAGGAGCACCGGCAACGCGGGGATGCGATGCCCAGATGTGCGCAATGTGTGTGACTTGGTGTGCACTGAGGCCACTTAATCAGCTAAGCTTTGGGTTATTCCTTCAAGTAGGGCTTTGGTGGTGTAGATTCTCACATTTTTAGATATATTTAGTACGTAAAAAAATGTGTACACCATTGTGCATTAAACTGAACTGCACAAATGAACTTTGTGCCTGACAGCGAGAATATTCATTGTATACATTAATGATACCTCATTTCTAATTGTTTATTTCTAAATATGGGTGAAGCTGCATGTCTCTGGAGGGAGGTATTGCAATTCTGTGAGCTTATGTTTGGATGGATAAAAGTGTTTTACTCCCACAATATTCCTTTTAAAATAAATATTGCCAGTGACATTGCTAAGAAAAGACTCTGCTAGAAATTATGATTATCATAACTGTACTGGACTGAGGTAATGGTGCTGAGTTAAAGTTCCTGTGGCAAAAGTTTTTGCAAATTCCAGGGATTTTTCAAGACAGTGAGAGGGAAATCAAAGATGTTTGTGGGTTTTTTACTCCTTAAAACTCCCTCCAGAAACAAAACAGGTAGAAATTAAAGGAACAAACTAAGCAGGAAAGGAACAAAATAGGAAGGTAAGGAACTGATTGTAAACCCCAGGAACAGAATAGAGAGGTAAGGAAGTTTGACAAAATATTTTAAATCTTCTCCTTGAATGAAAGAGTTATGTGGGCAAAAAGAATGCTCATTTTAATTTTATGAAATGAAATCTTATGAATTCTCTCCGTTTAATGCCCCCATCTTTTCTTGCTTGTAATTAACAGTACTCAGCAGTAGCACTTATTAACCTCAGTAACAATTTATTTAAAATAATATTTTGCAAAATTGCAGTCTTTTTTTCACTGCTTCGCATTGCTGCATGTCTGAGAGAGGTTCTACAGCCACCCAAAACCCACTTCATCCTCAAATCCAGGCATACTTTACATTCAGAGCTTTGAAAACCAGCTAAATTTACACCCAGCTTGCTCTGGAAATAAATCTGCTCATTTAGATGAGGTCTCATTTAAAATGGCTTAGCCCAATAATTAATCATTTCATTCTCTTTATATATTTGTGGGTGTTTGAAAGAAGTTTGATTAGTTACCAGTGATTACACTTCCCAACACCCTTCAAAGGAAATAATAAAATAAAACCCGTCAGGCTTTTGTAAGGATTGCTGGGGCTGAATTTGGGCTGAATTTAATAGTGACTAACTGGCAATTATTTGTCTGCCTTTAACAGGAACTCCATAATGAAGGAGGTTATCATCCAGGAGTTATACCCTGCTTGTTTTTAAACCTGCAAAGGGAAGATACTGTGAACAAAGCAGTGATGGCTCTCAGGTTCCTCGCCAGGCACCAGGAGAGGAGTGGGGCTGTTTTGGATCACCTGAGCACAGGTACCACCAACCCACCCTCTGCCATCCCCTGGGACACTCTTCCTCCTCCTGCTCATCATTAGGGCTCCTTCACTAAGTGCAAACAAACAGAAAAGCTTCTGCTGTTTTTAAATGCAGTAAATTATTTTAAGGAGTCCTGAGATTCAAGATATTTTTCTAATCTAAGGGTTTTGGCTTGTAAGGAGGTGGAGAGGGTAAAAGATCGTGTTGGTCCAAGCAGATATTGCACCTCTAAAGCTGCCCATGGTTTCTTATCTGTATTGTGGGCAAAGTGGATGGATGTCAGAGTTCAACACACCCATGCTGTTTAACCTGGTGCTATTATCACAATGACCTTAACCAGCTAGGCAGTTCACAGAGCAGGCACTAAACAGAGCATGAGATGAATTTAATGGATTACTAGGGAGTATGTTATTGCAAGGAGAAGCACCTGTGGAGCAACATATTTACCTCAGTTCCACTGAATGAGCATGTTGAAAGTGAATTGGCACAGCCTTCTGCTTTATGAAAGGAAGTATTTTGTCATTCTTCATGCTTTCATTAAGAGGATTTAAGGCAGAGGATGCTGAAATGGTTCTGTGTTAGCACCAAAAAAATCACAGATTAATAGTGGAGCTTGAAAATAGTAAAGCATCTGATTTTTGCTTTTTCATCAGCAAGCCTAATAAACCAGGATGAAACTATTAACATACAAATAGACAACATTCTGATTAAAACAGCAGCAGTCAGCTCAGCCTGAAAAAGACCTCTTCACACAGAAAGCAATTATGATGGTGAGTGTTGTCCGATTCACTTCTATTTGCAACAAACCTAGAAAATCAGAATGTAACCAATCATAATTTTGCAGAAAACATAGTGTTATTTAAGAACGAAGATGCTCTTTATTTTTCTTCTCATGATCAGCATTTTAGAAGCCCCCAAATGCACTGCAAGGTTGTACTCCTTTGAATTTCTACTCTAGACATATACTGTAAATAGGCAGAAGTAAGCCCTCAGGATAAAATATTGTGGGAAACCTCCCCAGAGGAAGGATGGATATTATCCTAGATTGTATTGCTACAGTATACTTAACTTGATTTCCTGTATCTCCCCTAAGATGGTCATCTGTGGAAAAAAATGTACTTAATTACTATTCCATCATTTAACCATCTACCTCCTGGTGATGGTGACCGTAGTGGAAAGAATTTTCTTGATTTTAAACTCGGGCTATGACAGCTGATACCGCTCAGATGTCCCAGCTTGGGTATTTTGTTTTGTCATGGGAGGAATGGCTGGCACAGAGGAGTTTTCCCTCATGCCAAAGCAGACCTGGCTTCCTGTTTACGTGGGGTGAGCGTTCCGCGCGCGAATTGTGGCGGCAGCGCATCCGTAGCGTGGTCACCCCTCGGAGCAGGGAGGCTTTCCAGTAACTCTCTGCTGGCTAATTCCCGTTTAATCAAGGGGAGCATAAGTGGTACCAAGCCCTAAATAGTTTCCTCTTTGCCCCATCCAGGGAGGGTGTAAATACATGCCAAAATCCCTCCTCATTCAGCGAAGTGCAGAGGTTCATCTGTAATTTAGGCACATGTTGTAGGACTGGTTGTTTTCTGAGAAGAACATGAGTGTGTTGAGATTTTTATTTTTTTTTCCCCCATGTCTTGAACATTGATACACACTGTTCGTTTTGGGGAAAGGAGTCAAGATGTACTTTTCCAGGTAGAGTAGGAACGCCAGTAGAACTATCTGAAGGAATCCACTTCATTTCATCTGAGACACACAGTTCTCTTGAGTGTTTTGAAAAGATGTCTTAACATGCTAACTGAAATGTTGAGACTCTTTGGTATCTATCCTAATTTTGATACTGGGGCAGGTATGCATTTACTATGCCAGTGAGCTCATCATCCCATTACATTTTCCTTTAATTAAAATTATTTTCAATATTCCTTTCCTAGCAGAACATAAAACTGGTAGCTTCTTGTTTGTTTAGGTGGTCCAAGGTTGATCATTATATATTAGGAAAGAATTTGGAGATGGAGCATGCTGGAAGATGATTTCTGCATCACACAGAGTTAAAAGCCTAATTAGACAGCTAAAGTAGCCTCCAAATATGCAGACGCTCTTTTGCACTCCAAAATAGTTGCATCAGCTATCAATCAAGTGGATAAAGGATGCAGACAGGCAATGAGGGTTTTCATTTGTGAGTAATATTAATTGTGGGTGTAAAATGAAAGATGTAATAAGTGATGAAGGTACCACTCAATACTTGGATGAAACATTTTCTGAAGTTAGCTCCAGATGGGGAGTTCCAAGTGGGACAATTGTATAAACAAATAAAATTTCAGCTTGGCACTGACCATTGCATGTTCTTGAAAAAATATATAGGAGTGTCCATTGATTATTGTTCTCCCTGATTTTGGTTTTCCAGCCCTGTATTCTGGCTTGCTGTTCATTAGTTTGGAGTAATTGGGCTGGGAGAGGAGCATTCAGACCTCGGTTCAATATTCAAAGCAAATGAAATATGCAATTATCTGATACAGAGTCACAGAATTGCATCAAATGGAAACAAATAGCGCCAAATCAAGACCACATGTTTTTAAGAGGATTATGAATTTTAGTGATATGCAGCTAAATGTCATCTATTTGCAAATAATTGAGGAGTTTGAAAAAAATCCTTTTGAAGATTTTTGTGAATATAGTAATTGTAAAAACACTTGCCAGGATTTTTCTGAGGTCAATGTGCAAAAGTCTGAAATTCAGACAGAAATGACTCTGTTCCTGATAATCCTTTCTGAATGGGACTCCTGATTGCCCTTCAATGGCGTCTGATCATTTCCCCACTGAAGACTGGACATCTGAACCAATGCTTTCAAGCAGTAATTAACCCCATGAGTTTTCAGATAAACCTTTAAGGGATTTTTTATAAATCGTGTTCAAATGAACCATTCTTTATCTAAAATCTGAAAAAGCTCAGAGATGCTTTCTGCTTCCTCTTTTACAAGTTTTTTAACAGTGCATTTAGGCATTTCACGTCCCATGTCTGCAGTAGCTTGACAAAGGACTTTTATATTTTCCCTTATTTAGATACTGGACAGAGCTCTTCACCTCACATCTGTCACTGAGGTCTACATGTGGTTGCTAAGCCTCCCCTATCACATGGAAGGGTGGAGACAGGGCAGCAGTTTTCTCTGGAAAAGAGACAGATGATCATGCCAAGATGTGGAGAAGTACTGGCAATGGCTTTGTTGGGGAGGGATTGAGACACCCTTTCGACAGGAGCCCACACCCATTTTGGGATGAAAAACGTCCATCCCACCATCCAGCTCTGCAGTGTCTCCTCCAGCAGGAGCTTCTCTGGGAAAACTCCCACTGCTGTGTCTGGGGCCAGTGCAGATCCTGTGACTTGCTCTGCAGATCCTCAGCCAGCAGCACTGTGCTCATGCTCTCTTTTTGTTGCATTTTTGCCTGCACAAAATGCCATAAGCAGCCAACTGGCCACAGTTAAACCTGAGAATGTGAGTGAGACATGTTTCCCCTGACTTGTTTCCAGAGACTTTGTGGTGGTACCTTGTCTTGTTTGTCTCTGCATTGGTCTGATCCTCTTCTACTGTTGGGCACTTTGGGGCTCATGTCCCATATTCGGGCTGCAGGAGTCTGAGAGGGCTCTCATCTCCCCAGGATGGAGTGGGAGGGCTCACAGGGAGCCTGCTGTCAGCACATGCACTGCTAGTTCAGGCAAAATGAACTCTGCATTCACAAACAATATAATTTTGGCTAAATTCAAGCCCAAAGAAGCCACTCTCTTGTGCTTTGCTCTCACTTGTGTATTTTTAGACTAGCTACAGTTTGGCTACTAGCTTGCATAAATCCCATGTTCTTGATGGTTTGGGTTTTGGTGCCTGAGAGAGGCTCGTGTAAAACTGCTCATTCAGTTAAACCAGAGTAACAGCTGAATTCAGACAGGTCTGCTATAGAGAGAGACCTGAAACACATACCCAAGATAAAGCAATTCCCAAATCTCATTGACAGATGTAACCAAATAAATAGTCAGTTTTAAAGCTTTTCTACAGAAGACACAAAAGATTTTTATAACTAAGCCATTTAAAATACATTTTAAGACTGCAAAAGGATGAGAGAGTACTTCCAAATGCACACTGCAAAATAAGACCTTACAGATTGCCAGAAATTTTTGGAAATTGAGGAGATAGCAGTATCTGCTGTTTGGATAACCATACAGAAAACAAGTGCTGTGAGCTTTGGAAAGCCCCTGGAGCACAGGGATGGGATCAGAAGGCAGAGGTAAGGGAAGGGCACTTGGTGGGCTTTATTGTGTCCCAGGACTGCATCCTATTTCCTACACTAAAGGAACACATCGTGTTGGGTTTTCTCCAACAAGCAGGATATTGTTTAAGTCCTTTTTGAACAAAGTATTATCAACTTTATTTGGGGTTTTTTGTTCTGCATTTAATTGGGAGCAGCAGCAAAGTTCAGAGTGCCATAGGCAGATGTTACAGGGACACGAAAGTACAAGATAAGGTGCTTCCTACCACAGGAAGGCTATTTTAATAGTTGGTTTTTAGGCTGATATTTACGAAGGAAGGAAAGTCAAAGGCAACAATAATTAATGGCATCATTATGGTGCTGATTTGCAAAGAAACATAGTATGCTTAGGAACTCAGCCATTTCAGCTTTTTAGAAGACTTCAACACCAGATCAGGCAGCAACTGAAAGACAATAAGCATCAAAATCTAGGTGTTACTCTCTTACATTTATATAAGTATATAGATTGCAGATGGAAAAGAGCATTAACAAAAGGGAAGGTAAATTTACAGGTCTCACCATCTTCCCTCATTAATGGTTCTCAGCCAAACATGCTGAGCTTTGTGACTTTTTGTTTATCATTAAAACACAATTTTTGTTATTTGCTGAATGGTTGAAATTTATTTTCCTGATAATTTGGGGAGGTAGCTGTTTATCATATGGAATGATGAACAGAAGCTGCAAAAGTATTTTCAAATAGGTTTGCTTGCAGCCCTATAGAGCAGAGCTCTATGAGTTTATTTGCATCGTCAGGAGAATCTAAACTAATTTAATTCATGGTAGGGAGCATATGTTAATGACTTCTCTGGGTGGAGGAAGGTAGTGCACACCTCTCTTCTAACTCAGTGGTCCTGATCTACAAGCAGGCCAATAGATCAAAACCACATGGTATCTCATGGTAAGAATTGAATTCATGCTCTCCTTAAATGCTTTTATTCATCACAAAAACCATTGGTGTGTTTGCTACCCCATCAAACTGTCCAAAATCTGAAATAGGGACAGTGGGATGGATCCCTGAGCATCCTGAGCTGGTGGGTGGCACTCCTGCCCCTGGTAGGGGGTGGAACTGGATGATTTCTAATGTCCCTTGAGACCCAAACCATTCTGTGACTCTGTGATCTCAGAACGAGGTGCTGCTGGCCCGTGGAGAGGAAGGGAGGGAGCTCTGTTGTGAGCTGAAACAGCATTTCTGCTCTGCCAGCTTCCTCCCTTGCAGGCTTGTTCTGACTTAACAACTCTGTGGCCTTCCCAGGCTTGAAAAACTGTATAAAGGAACCAAAAGAAAAGGTATTTCAAGGAATGAAATTAAGAATTGTAAGGGTCTTTGAATAACTAGTGTTTTCAAACTGGGTTAAAGCAGACTTAGAGTAATCTGACATGATGTAATCCTAGTGAAGTTGCAGGAAAGCAGAAATTAAGTATTTATTTGGTATTACAGTGTCTAGTATTAGATATTGTTAAGTACTGTCAGTAACTCATTATATATTTATTTTAAAAAATAAGAACTTAAAAGAAAAAAAGAAATTTGAGATTAGAAAGTGGTTGCTGTACATGCATTATACATGCTTCTCCTTCTGTTCCACTAATGGATGCTGACTGCCAGAACAGCGAAACGAACCATTGAAATCAGCGGAACTAAGACCCAGATCTATTAGAAATTTTCATTTGCCTCCAGTGTAGACTTTCAGACAGATCCCTGATTTCTGTGGAGCATTTCCAAAGCTTTAGAGCTATGCTGTAAAATGAGTTTCCTGTCAAAGGGAACAAACGTGGTGGTAGGAGCCATTGAAACTTCTGCTTCCGAGTGGCCACGCTGCAAAGACATGAAAAGGATGAAGCATCTCCAGTGGCACATCATTAATGCTGGTGGCAAGCTGAGGAACTGCTGGGGAAAGAAACAGCAGCAGCAGAAGGAGCCTGAGATGAATGAAGCTGGAATCATCAGCATGGAAATGCCACCTTAATTATACCATGCTCTGGAAAGAACTGAAGGCAAAAACAAAGCTGAGACCAAGAGGCACAAGCCACCCATGTAGGCTTCACTGCTGATCTCACCAGGGTCTCACAAGTCACTGCTGGAAAACAGAACCTCTAACCTGTCAGTCCTGGTGATCTCCCACTGCTGGAGGAGTGGCAAATCCCCAAATTTTCACATTCAGTGCAAAAATCAGAGGTGAAATGTTTTTAGATTTGGTAATGCAGTTATGGGTCATCAAACAAAATATGAATATGGAATGGAATTTATGTGTCACAGTAGTTACTCTTGTAAGGGGAAAAATCTAGTGAAAATCATGTTAAAAATACTTCAGAAGTGTCAAAAATCTGATCTTCAGTACAGAACACTCACCAGAAACCCTCCAGCATTAAGTTAATCTTCATTTTTAATGCTGCCCAAGCATGCTCTGCTTTTGCCAAAATAATGGAACTCTGAGCCTTTGCTGGGACTTTCCATATGACTGTGGCTTTAAGTTATATCCTTCAATTTTTTACTTTTTTCTGTTTTGGTAATGGGAATCTTTAGTGCCTGGAACATTTGAGACACTGAAAGAACCTAAAAAAATGTATATGCAGGAGAGGGTTTGGGTTTCTTCTGAATCCTGGTCAGACTCTGGAAAGCAGAACCAAACCTCAGAACCAAAAATTCCTTCATGAGTTTTCAACATTTCTGCTAATGCCGAGTTCCAGGGTCTGGTTTGCATTGGGAAACCTTGACTCCTGGCTCCAAAGGGTTCAATTAGTCAAAATGGTTGGCAGATGGAAAAAATAATTAAGTTCCATCCAGTGTTTTGTACAATAAAAATAGACTCAAGACACAATGGCCTTACCTTGAACTTTGCAGGCCAGCGTCATGTAAAGATAAAGAGGGAGTCAGCTTTTAGGAGCTGGATTATAAACCAGCACACAAACAGTGTGAAGCTGGGCTGCCAGGGCCAGAGGCATCAGAACATGCAGGCTGAGCACGTGATTATTACCGTAATGAATTTTTTAGCCCAGATCGAAGATGAAAATTCTGGCAATGAGAAATGACATGGATATTATGAGATTACCAAAACCTCATGATAGGAGTAATAACAATAATCATCTGTTATTTGAAGAGCTGCTGAAATGCATGGAAATTTTAAAATATTGTTCGTAGAAATATTTCTCCTAAAGGCTTTGTCTTTCCTGAAAATGACAGAAAAGTAGATGTATAACGCTTTTCTCAAACAAATTTTCTTATGCTTAAATACAGCCTTAGATGACCAACTTCACAAACTTGAGTTTGAAAATACAATTATGGACCAGAAACACAACCTGTGACACAATTTGACATCAAAATTATTTTTACTTCAACTATCCTGTAAGATATGTGGGCCAAAGAATTAGATCCACATGATGAACCTGGTCATTCTGAATAATGAATATATTCACAAAAAAAAAAAAAGGAGGCATATAGGGTAGATTTGCTAATTGGGAAGTGTGACTTACTGCACAAATGATTTGTTCTAAAATAGGCTGTAGTGCAAATTTTATGGCCAAAGCAAAGTTTTGGATAATAAATTATATATTAGAGACAATAAAAGGTGGACAGATTCCCCACCACTGTCAATTATGGTACCTGGCAGTACAGGGCTTTGGAGATTTATCTCTAAGTATAGAAGGAAATCTCCAGATTACTGGGGCAGAACTGTGTTCTAGGTTGCAATATTAATAAAGTTTTCCAGAAAATGTGAGAGTTCCACATATCCACACTTGCACTTCTACATTTTTACATCTGCTCTTGGCTGTCACTCAGGGCTGGATGCAAGTGGGTGCTCAACATCTGAAAGGGATGGCGAAATAAATTACACAGATCCCTGTGCAAGTCTGATCAAGCTCTGAAAGGTGAGGTAAGTCTGCTTCCTATTGCTCACGTCCTTCCTTTTCTTCCCCAAACTTGTACCAGGTGTGATTGCCATCTCTTTCCTCTCCTGCATCCCTGCTCCGAGGCTGCCCTGCCCCACCGGGGCTGCACCCACCATTGCCACCCCACGGTTTTCCACAGCAGAAGGGCTTTGTAACTGTGTGAGCAGCACTGGGGATCCAGGGTGAGGGCAGGAGCACACAGGGAGGCTCCTGCTGGGATAGCATGGAGTGTTTTGGCAGCACTGGTGTGGTTGACTGGTGTGACTGGTGCCGCAGTGCCAGCTCTTTAAAGAAGTGGTGTCTGTGTGTTTGTGACTGCTCTGATGGTCTGGGCTCCTCTGAGGGTGCAGCAGATGGCTCCTACCTTTATCTCGTGTTTATTTGTGGTGGTAGTCTAGAAAAACCACTGAATCCATCCCAAATCATATGGTGTTCAGAGGGATAAAGATGTTCAGCTAAGCCTGGGAATCATTAGGTGGCTGCCTTGGAGCCAAGCTCTTTGGATGGGGCTCAGTTTCACAGCTGGCAGAAGAATGAGAATCTTTTTCTCCTTCAACTGCTGAGACTGTCAGCAGCAAACTTGCAGAGCCACCTCTCATTTCCTGGGGATTCATGGGATGGTGGAGTGGGTGATGTTTGGTGAACTCTAAACCCATTTTGTTGGTATATGTGTTTGAGGGGGCATCTGTAAATCTGGAACCTGTTCTTTATTGTTTTGTGGTTGGGGTCCATGTATTGGATCTGTCTAACAGCTTCCTTGGGATAATAGTGGTGGATCTTGGTATTTAAAGTAGGATGTGGCAAAGATGAAGGATCTCAAGAGGCAGAATTTTTCCTTTGAGTCATAACAGTAGTTCACTCCACCTGAACCTCCAAGTGAGCATTCAAAGCCCTGATTTCTCTAATGTCTCAAGGGCCAAGCTTCCTGGGTTCAGCCTGTCCCAAAGCACATGCTTCTGACTTGACACAGCTCTCCTTAGAGGCCAGGAAAAATCAATGTATACTGTTGTGTTAAACCCAGTGAGGATTAGCAGAAGGGATGTGCTAATGAATTCCACGTGAATATGCTGCAGCAGGCCAGTCCTACAAAGCACAGAAATAATTGGGTAGAAAACCTGCCTGATTTGGTTTCCAGCTTGGACTAATGGCTGAGCCTTCTCCTGCCTGGAAGCAGGGCTATTTCCTGGGATGCCAGTGGCATCACTGGGGTGGTGTGAGGTGTGGTATCCTGCCTGGCGTGGGCAGAACTGCTGCTGCACAGATCAGAGCAGGCAGCACATCTTGATGTCTGCTGCGACTCATGAGGTGAAGGCTTTGATGTAGGTCCAGGGCCTGGCCCTGTGATGCAAGATGCACTGCAAAACCTGCTTTTCAGGGAGCACATCCATAGCCATGGGATCCTCAGAAACACAATCTTGTCCATCAGGAAGCCTGTAACACTGATCAGTCCTCAGGACTCCCTGGAGAAGAGTTCCTTGTCCTAGATTTGACGTTAGTATCCTTCACCTCCGGGGAAGCCCAGGCCTGTCTCATGCTGTTACATGAATTACCAAAGCAAAGGCTTTAAGTTTTGCTTCTAGCTCAAAAGCTATTCGGTTCCAGCACCAGTGCTCCCATTGAAAATGCTAAAATACCTATTTGTGTGATGCTCTGTCACTGAGTTTATTTGTAATACCTCAGAAATACACTGCACTGTAAACCTGTAGTTTTCACTAGTGGAGCAGCTATGCCAGCTGGCTAAGAGAAACTGGTGTGATAATTTTTCTACTTTTTCACCCACTTCCTTGCACCTCAATATCTTCACTCCTTTTCACCAGGCTGGCTCCAGCTCTTGTCCTTGCCAGTGCTCCTATGCCCACGTGCCTGCACGCGCACACACAGGCTCGGGCAGGTATCCGTAACCTGACTTCACACTTCCTCCCTCTCCCTTCTTAATTGCAAGAAAAAAGGGCAGGAAGAATGAAAACAAAAGAGTTACACAGAGAAATGAGGCAAAAATAGAAATCCAAGGGTATGGTGGTTGCAAGGGATGCCCAGAAATTTCCTTCTGGAGTCTCCTTTAATCATCTCTCATACTTCGCTGCGCTGCTCTTCTTTCAGCTGCTCAGGCCAGGTTTCTTGGTGGACTTTTACTGCCAAGTGCTATTATAACCAAACTGCTCTGATCTTTAGCCAGATCTTAGGAAAGAAGTGGGTGTGCTGAAGCATTGGTGAGCCAGTGAGGGAACTCTTTACCAGGGCTGGAATGGCAAACATGACTGTACAGACTGGAGCTGAGAGAGCAGGCCTGCAATGCTGCCATAGGTATGGTTTCAGCTTCTGCCCTGAAAGCCCAGGATATGCAGCCCTTTGAGCTACAACCACCCAGATGCTAGCACTTAACACAGATAACAAGAACCATTTTAAGGTGCTGGGTACCTGAGACAACACCTGGGTTTCGCTGACGTGTCCCCGGGCTGTGCTGACAAAGTGCAGATCCCCAGCAGGAATAACTGAGGCGGCACTGGAACCTGTGCCCAGGCCATCCTGGAGAGGAGCCAGCAGGGAGGCAGAAGGGCTCTCATTGGGCTGTCAAGGCTGCATCTCCCCTCTCATGGCTCAGGGTGGGCTCCACAGCTGGGCCTGGCTGGCTCTGGGCAAGGACAAAAGTGTGGCTGGAGCGTGAGGAGAAGCAGAGCTGGGAACACAGAACCTTTACAAGTTTAATCTCTGAAGAAGGGCTGAAATACCATTTAAACATACTAATTTCTCTTAAAGACCTTGGTCCATATTAATTATTAAAAAGAATGTCTGAGTGAAAGACCAAAAAACCTTCAAAATGCTGCGCACAAATGCAATGAGCTTGCAGGTTCCCAGAGCTTACACCAACTCTGTGCCACACATCTGCAATAAAATAGTCTCTGTTTGCTTAGCAGATGTGCTGGAGTCATGCAGAGTTCAAATTTACCATACCCATCAAGATGCAAATCCCAAATTTCGTTTAGCATTGTCCCGTTGGTAAGGATGTTACACGCAGGTCAGGATTCTATCTCCCCCCAAGCCCTTTAAATGTGTTTATTCATTCTGTTTATTTTCATTTCCCAGCTTCCACATGTCGCTCAGTCAGATTTTCTGTTAGCAAGACTGAGAGACGAATAACATATGTTACCCCACAACTGACCTTGAAGGGGAACTGAAGAAACCACCTTCCCCAGGGCTGAGATGTAATTCAGACACGAGCTTTCTCTGTAGAGCTCCTTTTCTGAAAAGTCACAGCCAACTGTGTCCTAAGCCCTGGAAACGTTCCTGCCTGCATCGATAGCAGAGCGTGAAGTACGGACCAGGGGGATGTTGAGGATTTAGCCTTCTGTGCCATCCCTCCCTCAGCTCTCATAAGCAAAGCAAACAAATTCTTTGTGTCTTAGAAGAATCAGATAATTCAGCCAACTTGAGTCGTTTCCTCGCAGGCCTGGCTTTTCACCTGAGGGAGTAGGTTTGCTCATCCTGCCCAGGTTAAAGTGACTGAAAATCAATGTGGTTTGACAGCTGTGGGAAAGAAATAAATAAATGGATGTACAGACTGTTGAGCAACAAAGACTCTTCAAGTGGATGCGAAGTGAGGCACTAAAAGAAATTTGTCTCTGATCTTCCTTACATGTTCTTGATTCATGGCAGTCTGGCCAGCCACAGCCCTGTCTGATGGGGTTGGTCTGACTCTTCCATGGTGTTTTCCACCTCCTTGCACATTCTGCTCAGGAAGAAGCCACAGGAGGGACGTTCAGCTCTCCCCTGTCCTTGTCTGGCTGAGCTGGGCACGTCAAACAGGAGATGGGTATGTCTGGATTGCCTGAGCCTGATGTTGCAGCCTGGAGTGGTGGTGCCCCCTGCCCCTCTGCTGAGCTCTGTTTGCCTTTGAGACAGCAAAATGTGGAAGTCCTCATCTGTGGAGCCCAGCTCCTGAGGACATCTGGCTGGGGAGAGGGTGTTGGGGTGGCAGTGTGGAATGAGTTGTGAGAGCATGTGCAGAATGGAGCAGGAATGCCAAGCTGCTGGTTAGACCCACCTGCATTTGTGTCCTGGGTGAGTGCTGCAGAGCACGGTTGGAAAGCAAGTCTAGGTTTAACCTGGAGTCAGTTATTTTGTCACAGCTCCCACAGGCCACCTGGATGCCCAGAAGCTGCTGAATTTAGACACCTCCATGCCAGAGGTTCCTTCTCTGCCTGTCACCCCCCCAGACATCAGCTTTCCTGATCCTGCCACCTGGCATTGCCCTCAGGAGTTCATTTAATGTCCCCCCTTTTCCCCACTTCTTTCTTTGGGGAATGTGATCACTCTGTTTCCTACAGCAGTTCAGAATTTAATTACATCTATGGAGCATTTGGACAACATTCTCAGTCACATGCTTTCTTTTCTTGGGGCTGTCCTGTGCAGGGCCAGGAGTTGAAGATCTTTGTGGGTCCATTCCAACTCAGGATATTCCATGATTCTATGATTTTCCCCAAAGGTTGAGCAGTTTGGGAAGGGGCAGTCTGTATGAGTAGGTATTATCTTGGTGTCACATTCTGGTGAAATAGCTCAACATGGGATTGCAGCACAGAGGGGAGATAAATGTTCCATTCAGCATGACTTGCCAGTTCTGACACACAGGAACCCTGAACACGTACCCTGACAAAATCCTAAAGTCACGCCAATTTGAATCCAAAAACCTGCCTCTTCTGTTAGCACTTAGTAACAATTTCATATCATTTTCCCCATGTAATTAAAATGTCTTTCCTGAGCCAAAAAATGAAATTTTCTTTACAGTAGGCAATTCTTATGTAAAACTACTTTCCTCTTTAGTTTCTGTCAGTTTAACATGAGTTTTTAGTTGTGTTTGGAGACATCCATTTTGGGAGTTATGACATTTCCTATCCTGGTACTGTGGTTGTGGGGAAGGAGGAAAGTAAACTGTGTAATTGGATTTCAGCTGGACCCAGTATCAGCTCAAGTTCTGGGTTCAG